TCCATGAAACATTTTCCAAGTATGGAGGATGTCAATATTTCTTGGAAGAACATGTTTTGATCAACTATGCAGTCTGCTTAATCAATATACGTTTTTCTGAAGATTTAAAGTATATATACCTTTGAGTAACAGCACTTGAGCCCTATTATGTACACAGATGGTGATTCAGAACAATAATTCTCCGCCTCATTCAACAAGCTCAATGCACTTTCAATATCTCCTTGTTCTGCATGACGCACAGCCATCATTTCCAATTCTTTTGCTTTATTTCGGCCTCTGTCTCCACGTGGCCATTTTGAATATGTTCTTCTGTTCTCTGGTTTTCGTTCGCTTGAGTTTCATAACCAAATGTTTGGTTGGATTGAAAATAATTTCAAGTATTCGTTTATCACTCTCTGACAAAGTCGCCATTTTGTGAAGGAATACTTGTGGTAATAAGTTTATGTCCAGTATACACACCAATAGTAAAATCGCACTTGTTTTTAGCTGGCATATATACATCAATAGCCATAATTCATCATAGATACCCATCATAACATATCAATATACATCCTTACACGCAACTAGGCATTGCTAGACATCATTGCATATCACTGGACATCATTATACATCAATGGACATCATTATACATCACTGGACATCGCTGGACATCATTATACATCACTAGACATCATTATACATCACTGGACATCGTTATACATCACTGGACATCATTATACATCACTAGACATCATTATACATCACTAGACATCGCTGGACATCATTATACATCACTGGACATCACTAAGCATCAATAGACATCATTATACATCACTAGACATCATTATACATCACTGGACATCGTTATACATCACTGGACATCATTATACATCACTAGACATCATTATACATCACTAGACATCGCTGGACATCATTATACATCACTGGACATCACTAAGCATCAATAGACATCATTATACATCACTAGACATCATTATACATCACTGGACATCATTATACATCACTGGACATCATTATACATCACTGGACATCATTATACATCACTGGACATCATTATACATCACTAGACATCACTATACATCACTAGACATCATTATACATCACTAGACATCATTATACATCACTAGACATCATTATACATCACTGGACATCACCAAGCATCAATAGACATCATTATACATCACTGGACATCATTATACATCACTAGACATCATTATACATCACTGGACATCATTATACATCACCTGACATCATTATACATCACTAGACATCATTATACATCACTAGACATCATTATACATCACTAGACATCACTAGACATCATTATACATCATTGGACATCACTAAGCATCACTGGACATCACTAGACATCATTATACATCACCTGACATCATTATACATCACCAAGCATCAATAGACATCATTCTACATCACTAGACATCGCTGGACATCATTATACATCACTGGACATCACTAAGCATCAATAGACATCATTATACATCACTAGACATTGCTGGACATCATTATACATCACTGGACATCATTATACATCACTGGACATCACTAGACATCATTATACATCACTATACATCACTATACATCACTAGACATCATTATACATCACTAGACATCATTATACATCACTAGACATCATTATACATCACTGGACATCACCAAGCATCAATAGACATCATTATACATCACTGGACATCATTATACATCACTAGACATCATTATACATCACTAGACATCACCAAGCATCACTAGACATCATTATACATCACTGGACATCATTATACATCACCTGACATCATTATACATCACTAGACATCATTATACATCACTAGACATCACCAAGCATCAATAGACATCATTATACATCACTAGACATCGCTGGACATCATTATACATCACTGGACATCACTAAGCATCAATAGACATCATTATACATCACTAGACATCGCTGGACATCATTATACATCACTGGACATCATTATACATCACTGGACATCATTATACATCACTAGACATCACTATACATCACTAGACATCACTATACATCACTAGACATCATTATACATCACTAGACATCATTATACATCACTGGACATCACCAAGCATCAATAGACATCATTATACATCACTGGACATCATTATACATCACTAGACATCATTATACATCACTGGACATCATTATACATCACCTGACATCATTATACATCACTAGACATCATTATACATCACTGGACATCACCAAGCATCAATAGACATCATTATACATCACTAGACATCATTATACATCACTGGACATCATTATACATCACTGGACATCATTATACATCACTAGACATCATTATACATCACTAGACATCACTAGACATCATTATACATCATTGGACATCACTAAGCATCACTGGACATCACTAGACATCATTATACATCACCTGACATCATTATACATCACCAAGCATCAATAGACATCATTCTACATCACTAGACATCGCTGGACATCATTATACATCACTGGACATCACTAAGCATCAATAGACATCATTATACATCACTAGACATCGCTGGACATCATTATACATCACTGGACATCATTATACATCACTGGACATCACTAGACATCATTATACATCACTATACATCACTATACATCACTAGACATCATTATACATCACTAGACATCATTATACATCACTAGACATCATTATACATCACTGGACATCACCAAGCATCAATAGACATCATTATACATCACTGGACATCATTATACATCACTAGACATCATTATACATCACTGGACATCATTATACATCACCTGACATCATTATACATCACTAAGTATCAATAGACATCATTATACATCATTATACATCACTAGACATCGCTGGACATCATTATACATCACTGGACATCATTATACATCACTAGACATCATTATACATCACTGGACATCGCTGGACATCATTATACATCACTGGACATCATTATACATCACTGGACATCATTATAGATCACTAGACATCATTATACATCACTGGACATCATTATACATCACTGGACATCATTATACATCACTAGATATCATTATACATCACTAGACATCACCAAGCATCAATAGACATCACTGGACATCACCAAGCATCGATAGACATCATTCTACATCACTAGACATCATTATGCATCACTCTACATCACCAAGCATCATTATACATCACTGGACATCAGTAGACATCATTATGCATCACTGGACATCACTAAGCATCGATAGACATCATTATGCATCACTGGACATCACTAAGCATCAATAGACATCATTGTACATCACTAGACATGATTATCCATCATTGGACATCACTGGACATCACTATATACATCACTAAACGTCACTATACATCATTATCCATCACTGGACATAACTAGACATCACTAGACGTCACTAAGCATCATTATGCATCACTAAACATCACTGAACATCACTGGACATCATTATACATCACTAGACATCACTAGACATATCACTAGACATCATTATCCATCACTAAACATCACTAGACATATATCACTAGACATCGCTAGAGATCATTAACCATCACTGGACATTACCAGACATCACTTAAAGTGAGGCGTAGATCATTACGTTACCAGATCATTTTCGCTGTTATGATGTTGATTCTCAGTAAAGATTCTTCAAAATGTTTTTTGTTTCTTTTTGTTTTTTTGAGCTCCAGTTGCATTTGTGGATGCATGGATATCTCGGAAATCACAATTGTTAAGATTAAACGGGCGATTAAATTATTTGAAGAGGCTGTTTGCGAGAGTCCGTCCGGCTCTTTGCTTGTGAGGGAATGGCCCAGCGCTAGGTCTGACAATCTGCCCAATACAGAATGGTATACATCTCCTCCTATCTTGTTGTGGGACGTGATTTTTAGTCATCCTGACCTTATTTCTCGATTTTCATGTCCATTTTGTTCGGCAACCTGTTTACGAAGATCTGGAAAGTGGGCAGATAAAACATGGGCCAGCTCATCATATGAACCTCGAGTTGTTTATGACACAAATTCTGCGATCCTTCTTGTTTCTCATATTTACCTTTGTTCGTCAAATCATCAAGTTCCTGCGCATCATCCATCGATCCTTTCTGCGCTTCCATCGTCGGTTTTTGTTCCATTTTTCCTAACTAATCGGGCGGGTTTCACAGTTGATATGTTAACCCAGCTATCTTCAATGGTCGACAATGGTTTAAGTTTTCATTCGATCGAGGATATTGTGTGTAATCAATATGAGCAATATTACTGGCGTCTTAGGTTACGGTACGAGCAAGACAGCTCAACATTAAAACTTAGTGAAAACGTTATCCAGAGGCAGAGTTTTCCGCCATTTGATCAAAAGGCGTTTCCATTCCCACACGAAAAAATAATTAGATCAGTGTTTGTATCGTATTCTTTGTTGTTCGATCAGCTCTTTTACGACGACATGGCTTGTCGTACATCTAGATGGCTTGCATGCGATCACACGTTTAAAAGTGCAGGCAACATTGGCTTCACTAGAGAGAGCGACGGACGCTGGATAAAGTTGATGAAATGTGTATTTATTGTTTTGGACAATAACGGTAAAATTATTCATTGGAGATTTACTAAAGGAGAATCATTCAATGAAGTAAGTGGCATTTTTAGAGAACTTAAGGACAGGTTTGAACGATTAAATACTGATTTAGAAGGTATTGTCATTGATAATTGCTGTAAATGGAGAAGTCAATTTCAGTCCCAATTCTTTCCAAACATTTTGGTAAAATTAGATCTTTTTCACGCTGTACAGCGATTTGTAACCACTTTACCTATGGCAATAAGATTAAATACAGATATATGCAAAGGGTACGGATTAATTTTTCGCCAATCAAATGATCTTGGAATCAAAAGATTACAACCAACTCCCGATAAAGAAACAATTAATTGCAAATCTTGAAAGTTTCCAAAGATGGTGGAAATCTAAGACGTGGAAGGGAGAATATATTTTGAATCAAGCGGCAAAAAAAGCTATCTGCAATATAAAGTTGCATATTGTGAAAGGCTGCCTTAGTGGAATCCCTGTTAATGTATCAACATCGCGAAATGAACGACTTCACAGAAATATGAACAATGTTCTAAAGATAAATAAAATTGGACTGGAGACCGCATACGTAAGATGCTCCAGGCTTTTTTTCAAAATTAATAACCAAGGAAATAATTCAATTAAAAAACTTATGGCTTGTTCAAAAGATCCACCGGACTTTTCCAAACGAGTGGAAAATTTCGGTTTTGAAACTTTTAGACAGATTGGTGGTGAGTTAGAAGCTATTATACCAGAAAAAAATGTTATGATTTACAAGTCGTTAGATGAGTTGAGCGAAGAAGTAATTTGTAATATCAGAAACGCTATCTCATCATCACTGCAAACAAGTGATGATATTCAAGATGAACACACATACGCCAAAAACAAAGGTAGAGATAATAATATGGCAATGGCCATTGCTGATTCAGCTATTATTTTTTATGAATTATATAAAGGTTTGGAACACATTGGAGGAACGCGTTTACTTTTGAAAACTAATCTTGCACATCTAATTGGTCTTGAATATGGAAATACCTTTAATGCACTAAGAAACATGCGCTCACATTTTGCCACTGCGGCAACTACAGATGGTACAAAGGCGGTACTCACAGGACATCTTCAATTTTTTGGACTTGAAGAGGTGGAGGTTCCAGGTGATGGGAACTGCTTCTTTACCGCTGTTGCATTTCACCTTTCAACTGTATTGAACAAAGGAGCTTACAAAGTAATCGCTGATCATCTTAGGGACATTGGTTTGTTACCGACAATGTCTGTGCAAGAATTATCGACAAGATTGAGGAATCTAATCGTCCAAGAATGGAGAGGTGATTTCGCTTCTGATTATGCGAGTTTTTTGCCAGATAATGTGGACTACTTATCTGAAGTCGAACATTACGAAAGGCCTGGTTTTTTTGGAGGTAATCTCGGTGATCTTATGCCAATGGCAATGGCAAATGTATTGGGAATTCCACTCGGAATAATAACATCGGAACCCAGCACTCCTATAATTAACGTATGTCCACGTGGGTTTGTCATGACCGCAACACCAATTTTCTTGGCATATACGTCGTCAGGACCAGGTCACTATAACGCAGTTTCGCCCATAGTACCTTTGCATCCTTCAGGTATTGTTGTTTCCCAGTATGTGCATGTGAATACGCGGAATGTGAACTTGCTATTAATCGGGTAGGGTCACATCTAATTGTAATAATAATAATCATTATCTACCAATTAATTTACTGCAATTCATTTTATCATACCCATATTAACAGTTACTATATTACTACATTATTAATATAATTACCGTTTTAGGCACTGTCGACACAACAGAGTCGCGTAATGTAGTGGACTGTAAAGAAAATTTTAAATCATCAACACCTGGACGTAAAGGTATGTAGAATTTCTGTGGCTTGTCCGATAATACTCAATAAGCCAAAAATCGATGAGATTTCAGCGGCATTCCGGCACGGCGGTGGGCGTTAAATCTTGTTCGTATTTTTTGTAAAATTTCGTAAGTCATGAAGTGTGCCCGACGTTCGCCGATATTGCATTTGGGATTCTTTTGATATATCATCGGAAAAGACTTTTGAACTGTCTGTATAAGAAATGACAAGTATCCTGGGAAATTTCTCTTTCTTTTTCTTTCCTGTTAAAGAAATATATCATGGGAAATCCCATTGTCCCCTTATAGCGCGCTAATATTTAGTACAACAGAAGCTTAATAGAAAACGGTTCTCCACTAGACGATTTTTATGACTATTGTCTAAAAAATTCGCAACAAACATGCGCAGTAAGAAATAAATGATAGTAAAAAAACTCTCAAGGGCTCGACATTGCGCACATTGCTGCTAAAGATAGAGTAATGAATAGGGACAATTCCTTGTAACAGAATTAAGTGCTTCATGATTTGTAATGTATTTGTAAACAATGCATGCACATAAATCAGTATGCATTAACCTTGTTTCAAGTCGCAGCCATTTTATTGTTAAGTTCTAAATTTACTGAAAAACAGTATTAGAAAGCAAGATACTCCGGCTTCAGCGCGCCGGCTAGAGCGCCTGACTGGCTGACAACAAGTCAGTGCAGTTTCAAGTAGTCCTTTTCGGTAATTACGTCACAACTACATGGAAGGGAGGCTAAGGGGCCAAGATATAATATTTTTATATTACATAAGCGATTCCTGGCCCCACAGCGTCGCTTCCATGTAGTTGTGACGTAATTACCAAAAAGGTCTATTGTACGCCCTTGTATAAAAATAGGGAGTTTACGATTTACTACGCGGCCAGCTCGACGACGCGCTGGCAAAACAAAGAAACACATCATGCAAGACAAAAGGGGTGAACAATTTGTAATCTCATCAGCTTTGATCAACAGCATTGCTATTCTCGGGGCGCGCTCAAACGAGTAATTTTCACGTGAAACGTCATAAGGAGTTTACTGAGTTTGAAAACGATGAATCTAAATTGCTTTTAACAGGTTGTAGGTGTGGACAAACGACACAAGCGCAGAAAAATAGAAAAGCAAAGCCGTTAAAGAAATATAAAAGTTATAAGCGATGCAACTGCATGATTAAATTTAAATCTTGTTGCGACAGATGCAAGTGCGTTGGTAAATGTGGTGGATGTACTTGCAAGACAAGAGTCGTCAAAGTTAGAAGGAAAACCAAATCTTCGCCTCGTGTTAAGCACATTTTACAGACGCAAAAAAATATATTACCTAGTGGATCTACACCTGAAGAAAATACTACAAATTTCTTGGAAGTCTGTGTTTTGTGTTCTATTATCAACTTTTTTCGATCTGGTTATTTCACATTATGGGATGCTGAAACGGTTTACAGTTTATACATTGGTGTCATAGAAGGCTTATTTAACTTAAATATTGTTTTACCACTGAGAAAATGGCAAAAAGAGTTCATCTGGAAAAAGGTTTTAAAACTCAAAAAGGACTTTGAAATTTGACGGTTTTGAGATTTGCGCCGTATAAAAGTAAGCATTTAAAAATAAGAATAGGTTAAATTGGTCTTAATTTTGAGTGGAAATTGATACACGCCAGGGACAGTTGAAAAGAATTCATCAACTATTGGCCGTCCGGCAGAAATTAGCCATTTCCCAATCGAGCAGGGGATTGGGTCTAGTCGCGAACCGCAAAGCATCTATGGACTGTTTGGAGGAACAGGAAATATAAGTCTGAAATCATTTGTCCCTCCAAACAGTCCATGGATGCTTTGCGGTTCCCGACTAAACACAGTACCCTGCTCGATTGGGAAATGGCTAATTGAACCTACGCCTTTTCGATGTTTGTGAAATGCTCTGACCACCAAGCCAAAGGCCTTGTTTATACACGGTAAAGAACAAATTTGCGTGTAAACAGGCGAAAATGAACGAATTTCAGACCTAAATTCGTCCGGTAACGTTTAAACAAGGCTTAAGATCAAGTTGACATAATGTGTCATTTCCACTAATGGGCTTAGCATATAGTTTATATTCACATTAATTAATTTATTTATGTCCCACAATGTTGATGTTAAAACTCAAGTACTTTATTGATTATTGTTTTTTATATCAAGACATATGCTAACATTGACATATTGTTAAGATTGCATGAAGCAACTTATAATGAAGTATGTAATATCTCGTCGCTATTTGCGTTCAGCATTTAACACTCTAATTATGTTCGCCCATATATGCCAACCAAATTTCAACACAAAAACATATTAAATAATGTTTAACAACTTTGCCAGATCACGTAGTCCACAAGTACTACAGCAACACCATGCAGTTAACACTCCGGCTCCATCGATGTAATTAACCTTATTTACCATTTCGTGTACGTTTATCTAAAAATATGGTTTGGGTCAGTATTCTCAATTTGTGAGTTGTGATAAATGTGAGGAGTAAATTAGAACGTGCATATAATATACCTTTGAGTCCACTGTGCAATTTATCGAACAAACCATCTGCCATTCTCCGTTTTCTTTTACCACCTTTGCTGTCTTTGCTTTTAAGGTTTTGAACGTCATTTTCAACTGTTTTTTGTGTATTTGCCAAGGCACCCTTGTCAAAGATGGTTTGTACATTTGTCAAGACACTGTCGTTGTCAAGAATGGTTTGTGTATTTGTCAAAACACTGTCGTTGTCAAGAATGGTTTCTACATTTGTCAAGACACTGTCGTTGTCAAGAATGGTTTCTACATTTGTCAAAACACTGTCGTTGTCAAGAATGGTTTGTGTATTTGGCAAGACACTGTCGTTGTCAAGAATAGTTTCTGCATTTGTCAAAACACTGTCGTTGTCAAAAATAGTTTCTACATTTGTCAAGACACTGTCGTTGTCAAGAATGGTTTGTGTATTTGTCAAAACACTGTCGTTGTCAAGAATAGTTTCTACATTTGTCAAGACACTGTCGTTGTCAAGAATGGTTTGTGTATTTGTCAAAACACTGTCGTTGTCAAGAATAGTTTCTACATTTGTCAAAACACTGTCGTTGTCAAGAATGGTTTGTGCATTTGGCAAGACACTGTCGTTGTCAAGAATGGTTTCTACATTTGTCAAGACACTGTCGTTGTCAAGAATGGTTTGTGTATTTGGCAAGACACTGTCGTTGTCAAGAATGGTTTCTACATTTGTCAAAACACTGTCGTTGTCAAGAATGGTTTGCACTTTTGTCCCACTTTTATCATTCCTCTTCCCAAGTTCTGTGAATAAAATACAAAAGTTAAATTAAAAGCGTATACTGAACAATAGGCAGGTCTCCTAAAAAGTACTCAGTCAGTAAAACTATTACGTTCAAATAAATTTAATCAAATAAAGGAGATGCTATATATATAACCGAAAATAGTAGCTACGTAATATTAATTACTCGGGCTACTGTGGTCTAGGTCTAGCCGAGTCTAGGTTTCGCGATTATTATTTTTTTTTCGTGTCGCAGGCTTAGTCATCCGCGCGGACAGTCGCGTACTTACAGTGTATCAATATAGCTCAGTTTCAGTGCAGTGTATTTACCGGCTACACAGCCCGAGTTAACGCCTACCGGGCGTCTTGTTAATTAATTAAACGCCTGTTCAACAGTTCTACAGGCAAATGTCATCGTATTAATTAATTAATTGACGCCTTTTGTATTCTTACTTTCATCCAAAACAGAGAGGTCATTTGGATCAAACCAGATCCTCTGTATATGTGCCGCGTTACATTGCTTGGGCCTCCGTCGGAATCGTACTTGCACCCCAACGCAACCAATATCTCTCGATTTTATGAAACGACGAACTGAATTTTCAGTTACTGATGACAATAACTGATCGCCAGTTACTGACGCTTTTTTTCTCAGGAACTCCACCACATCTTTAACGTGGAACACCACCGACTTTCCGCATGTGCATTTTGAAGGATTATGGTCATTATCAATAAAACGCATCACCTTTGCAAATTTAAGGAAATTATATCAGATTATTTCAATTATGGTTGTTATAGACCATAGTCAAAGTGACTGAACAATATCAACAGAGTGGGCCAAAATGATAGTTTTAAGTAGGTTTATAACACATCGAAAATCAAGTGGGCATATAATTATCATATTTGTATACTTCACGCAAGGATACAGGGGCCGGTTGTTCAAAAGCCGGTTAACGCTAACCCAGGGTTATAGTGTTTATTTGCATAATTTAGGCTACTAAAACCAGATTAATGCTTTGCCGGTATATTCTGGCTTTCCGACCATGAGTAAGAGGCTGGCGAAACATTCTGGTCTTAACAACCTTATTTTAAATGACTGTATATTATCTAGTTTATTTTTATTTTTTCTTGGTAACGCTCATAGTTTCTACTATGGATTTATATGGCTTAAAATGTAAGCGCGCGTGTGAAATTAAAATAATATGCAACTAAAAAGTAAAAGAAGCAAGAAAACATACGTAATTTGGATCCTCTTTGGCCGCTAAAGGGAGCAAGTGATCATGTAGAAGTTTATGAATTACATTTGCATTATTCTGACACTTCTCATTCGATGTGGGCTGCTGTTCTGATTCTCTTAATGTGTAGCCTGGCAAAATAACTTCTTTCATTGTCTCCCATACCAAGACATAATCGTCAGCTAGATCAACTTTTTCCAAAATCTGCATAGAAATAATGATATATAATAGCGAACTTAAACAAAGCTTAACCTACTACAGGAACATAAAGAACAATTGAGAATTTGAGAATTTCAACAAACAGGACAAGGGTATAACTAGAAAAGCTTATAATACCAGACTATATATAATAGAAAAAATAAATCCGGAAATTATAGTAACTAAAATATTAGACGTCGTTGTAGCTCTGTTTTCCAACGGCAAAATACAGATTATCACGTCTTTTATACGTACAGTATATGAAATTTAGGCAACTGCTATTTTAAACTGGATCCTATAGAACGTTTTCAATCAAACCCTGCGTTTACGGCTGTATTATTCAGTTTCATACGATAGATACTGGAGATAAAATAAACATGCACATACATAGTCCGCATTTTCACTGACATGCATACACTGACACTGTGACAGTCTAATTTATGAGGCTATATTTAATCCGTACATATTTCAGTATTACATACTACATACTATATTTACCTTTTTGGCAGAGAAAAGCAGAAGTCCCATCATAAGTTTGACTCTATCATCAATTTGCATGCCCTTTTTTTCTATTTCTTCCTCTAGCTCTTCCAAAATAGTGAAGTAAGTGTCGTTTTCTGTGCATTCTTCGAGATTGTTATGCATACAGGTAGTGACAACGCAAATGCTTTTGTGCGCTTCATTCATAGCTGCTTTAACATTCATCTCAGCTAAGACTTTATCCTTTCCAGTTAGCCTTGGCGAAAGTGCTTTAAATTCAATTCGCAACCACCGAGAATTAATCCTATATGAATGATAGCTATACGTTTAGATCAGTCATGTACGTAAAATTTTAGCGTTAACTTCGTGGTTAATTTCAAGTACTTCAAAAATAATAGTAAAACCCACCTTATAGTGAAACCCACCTAACTGACATATAATGAAGAATCTTATAACTATTTTGGCATTAATCCGAAGGATCGTGTATACTCTCACATATACGCAGTATTATAGTGATTATACTGTATGAACACACATACTTTTTTTCCGATGTGTCAAGGTTCGTGGAGACCACGGGAACAGTATGCGGCTGCAAGGTGTTCTTCATTGTGGAACTTCCACACTACAGAGTGCATGTATAATAAGTAGACAAGTTAATTAAAGACGGCTTGCAAAAGCCTGGTTTCAGTATGATCGTTACGATCGCTGTATAAATATGTTCACTGGGACGGCTAAAAGTAAAAATTTTCTATATAATCGTATAACAATCGTGATCGCTGCGATAAAAAACTGGGCTGGACTTCGATTTCACAAGACTTCGTGCGGAGTGTAAAGGGCTACTGTGAGTGTAGGGTGATGTGAGTATGAATAATAAAGTTGCTGTTTTGCTATTTTGGGTCAATATGATTACCAGACAATTACATACAAACATGCGTGAAATTGCAAACCTATACCAAGTTACTATAAGACTGTAATTTTTTGCATCTTTTCATTATCGTTTTAAGACGCTTAATTAATTGTTCACGCGGTCCGAGTTAAAGTTTTTTCAATATATTAAATTAGATTTAATTTCTGCTGCAAATTGATTGCTACTGCTTTTGCATTGTTTGCTGTCATTTCTGCGCAAAACCAAAAACAGTCAAAAGCGTTATACGTGTGCACGGTCTAATTGTCATCCAATCAATTTCCAACACGTACGCTGATTGGCTGCTCGAAACACAATTTCATTTTCAATCCTGGAGCTTTGGTAATGGTTATGCGTAACGCATAAATATGTGGTCAATATAATACTTACGCCATTAAAAGAATTGACTGAAACATTTTTTAGGACCTTCATATCGGACGCATCATCCCAACCAAATGGAATAGTTGTGTTGCTTTGTCGATTTTCTATATATCTGCTGCTGGATTCTGAAAAAAATAAAGCTTGTTAACAAGTTCAATATACTTACTTGGTCACAAAAGTTTGTTAGTAGTACGATAACAAATTTATATATAAAGCGAACTGAATACAACCTTGGCAATGATGCATCATAAACGTTTTGTATTATAAGCTACTTTAAGCCACGCAACCTAACTCACGGATTACAGGCATATTTACCCTTGAAAAACCTGATAAGATTGTTAACTTAGGTCTAACCCCTGTAGAGTTTTTAAAGATCTTGGCTTGCGATATTGAGTTATATTTTGCTTACATGGCTTAATTGTTTTGTCTACGTTCATAGCAATTAGTTATTATAGCTGCTAAAGCCCCGTTTACACTACAGTCTATTTATCGGCACGGCACGGCTAAAATGGGCACGCGTACCTTTAAATCGGGTGTAGTGTAAACGGGGCTTAAAGCCTATAACATATGGTGTTTAGGAGTCTATACTGAGGTGCATATATTTTATTAATTCTTTGTTAATTTCAAGAAATTTGAGATGCTCGATCATGTTTCAACGTTCGGCACGGCAATTTTCATTCGGTTTGGCTATAGTGTATAACACAGGAATTTAGGGAGTAGTTCATCAAAAGGCAAATAGTGATCATTATCTCAAATAATGATCAAACCCGAAAAACTGAAGTCACATGAAGCACTATAAGAACAAAATAAACGCACTTTATTTAATTATTTTGTAAGCAGACAAACATTTTAAGTTTAAAAAAAATTTGGGTGAATCGTTAACTTGAAATAGATGCAACATTTGGAATAATCGTCACAACTCAAGGTCCATGCAAGATTGTATCTAAAGTATAGCATGCATTTATTTGGCCATATGAGTAAAACCACTAACCACACGTAAATTTTCGTATGCCAAATATACTCATTACAGCTTTCAAGGCGGTAGTCTTTCCCGATACTGATGGTCCCATGAGCACTGGAATGGCACATCCATCAAATTTTTTTAATATAAGATCATAATTACACGCCATGCTACTGCCAGCATGGGCCAACACAACTTGGGGATAGTTGTTTTGAAACAACGCCTTCTCCGTGACCAAAAGTCGTTTAAATGCTGCTCCATCATCTAAATCTAAACATAATTATAAAACTCTTTACCTTCTAGCGATTGAAACTAATATTAATGCTCAGGTGCAATTAATGATAATTTACTGAGTTTCAAAATCAACGTTCTTCATTGCAAATTTAAATACTTTCGAGTTTTGGAGGAAAATAATTCAGTGTAATTTTTATAAATTATCTTTTTAAAGAAGCTATAGTAATTCTTTAGTACTTATTACTTTTAACGATAACACTATTTATTAAAGTTATACGGAGAAGATAGCTGCGAAGATTATCCATAACTGTCTATTGTATACCGGTAATAAACCCTGATGACTAATTCTTTACTGAATGGATAAAAAAAGAAGGCATATGAAGGTACATGTATTTATTACCACTGCTAATATTTCGTAAATATGGCAAGCTACTTGCTTCCATCGAAACATATGCTCTTTCGTCTTGCGGGATAAGCCTTCCATTCTTGTCGACATGCACATGTGGATTAAAAACCCATACATCATCAGTTTTTTGTTTTCCAACAATCTGTATAAAATATAGCATGAACACTGAGGGCGGCATTTAATGATATTTTTGCTTGTCCCTGCGGCGTTTATTTGAGGGAGGCGTTTATTCGAGTAATTACGGTAATATATATCACCATTTAGCCGCAAAAGGGCGAAACAGCTATCCGCAGATGCTAATAGTGCTGGACACGAGTCATAGTCCATTCGTGGCCTTTGCGCAGCTTCAAAACTGTGAAATGCAGTGCGTTTAGAAAGCATGGGATTCATGCAAACCCACAAATTAACCTTATAAGCTTTCGTGGCTCATGCCACGAAAGCTTAATGCCCTAAAAACAGAAAACGCATTTGCGCAACAATCAACAAATTACTTACCTCTACAGGTTTGAAACTTTTTATTTCCTCACTTGGAGTTTTCATGTACTCCTTGCATAGACTGTATACAAACTGCGGCAGAAACATGTCCTTTGACTGGGCAATCCACAGCGGTGGGAATTTTGCAGTGAGGCAGTTTACTATCGTTGTGTTGTTACCAAGCTGCCGGTTGGTTAAAAAAAATTGCCTAGAAAACAGTCATTAAAAGAACCGAATTATTAATAACCAATAAGTAATATTTATTTCCTAGAAATTGAAAATTCTGGTTTATGGAATTTGCCCGTGATTCTATTCCAAGCAAGTGTAGTGATTCATGCTTCCCCCTGTTTTCACAAAGTACTTGCAGCAGATATTTGTAAAATACTCTATAAAAATCAACATGCACGTAAGCTATTTGTAAACTCAAATGACTAAATAAACATTTATTTTCGAAGACCGATCGAATTTGAAGTCGTATATGAACTTGAAGTCGGATCTTGAAATTTGCCGAGTTTTAGCTTTTGTTAGCGATTTTTGCACATTTGTAGTAGGTAATCATACATTTATATCTATCAATTTTTTAAATTTCTATACTGTATAATTCGGTGATTACAGTGGAATTGCGGTGCCCACGCCAAATTCGGGACCGCATTATATTCTGCCTGTGAGTTTGCTTGTTAGTTCGCATCAACACGGACGTGAATATTCTTGATCGTTAGTTTTCTGACAACTATGATACTATCTAACGGTGAACGCCGGTAAGACGCAGGCTATGGTAATGAGCAATCTTCCCTGCAATCTTTCCTGCAAGCTGATTGGCTGTAGCAGGGGGTGGAATTTTACGATATCTGACCACTGTCCGGAATCCTATATTTTATGAGTCTGACTACGATACGACCGAACGCCGCTTTTTGTAAAAAAATAAATACGTTATTTACCGTTTTGGTTCTTCCGGATAGAAAAATATTTCCCTATTTCCCTGAAAAATATTTTTCTATCCGAACCTCGCAGCCGGTAAATAACATATATATCTTCACGCGACAGTGTAATATGCTATATGTATTATTACAGAGTAAATCTAGATACAGAGTTGGAACTACACGTTGTAAACACTGCCGAAAATTATGTTATTCTGTACCCAGCTTTCTTTAAAGCCGACGATAAAAAATTGATAAACTGCAGGTGCTCGGCAAGTTACGCGAGCAGTTTTATCCAATGGGTTTGCATTGAATGCATCTGGTAACTTGCTGAGCATGCGCACAAAAAACGTGGACGCACTAGTCGTGGTGAGAACTATATTTTTCTCATTTTCTGCGCTCATGCGTAACATTTTTACTCACCACTCGAAGAAAAAATCACCGCCTAATATCCTCTATTATTAATTTAAACATAACAAAAAGCTTGCCAGTCTTCAATTTTTATACTTTTCATGATATTTAAGTGCTGTTTTAATACGCACCGAAACAACAAAATTACGTTTGAGTGGCAGTGTTTATTTTAACAAAATATACATAGCTAGCTGCCGGTTAGGTGGGTGCAGAAAAAAATTAACAACACATCTTACCTTGACGATCTGTCATTATCTGCCGATATAAATGGATCCCTCACTGCTAAAATTATACGGATGATGTACCCTATAACACTCCCTTCTCCATCCCCAACATACCCATCGACTTTTACGTCGAAATTTGTTATCTCTTCAAACCCATTTGTACGTTCATATCCAAGAACACCGTTCTTAGATATAAGCTTATTGGGATCTACCTCTTCACAAGCCGCTTCGACTTCATCAACAGGCTCCATTTGGCATTGACATCAACAAGAAACAAGTATTTTATTTTTAGCAAAGCTCAGAGACATGTGCTCATAATCATATACACAGATATGAAACTGAAGCCAAATTGAGTCACATGGTTTTTGCCTAATGTGCGCGTGCGTAATTTCCTTGGCATGTGTCATGTTGAAATTTAATGAGTAAATCAGTAGAAAAATCGTTTGATGATGTATTTCTTTTGAATTATTCTTCATGAAGTATTAGGATACTAACATAAATGTTTAATTATGTTCAGTGACTGTCTAGTGATGCCTACTGATGTCTTGTTCTGTTTAGTGATGTCTAGTGATGGATTATAATGCCTTGTGATGTCTAGTGATGTTCAGTGATTCCGAGTGATGTTCACTAATGTCTAGTAATGCTTAGTTATGTCTAGTGATGTCCAGTGACGTCTAGTGATGTTTGGTGAGGTCTAGTGATGCATAATTATGTCTAGTGATGTCCAGTGATGCCTGGTGATGTATAATGATGTCTATCGATGCTTAGTGATGTCTATTGATGCTTGGTGATGTCCAGTGATGTATAATGATGTCCAGCGATGTCCAGTGATGTATAATGATGTCTATTGATGCTTAGTGATGTCCAGTGATATACAATGATGTCTATTGATGCTTAGTGATGTCTAGTGATGTATAATGATGTCCAGCGATGTTCAGTGATGTATAATGATGTCTATTGATGCTTAGTGATGTCCAGTGATGTATAATGATGTCCAGCGATGTCTAGTGATGTATAATGATGTCTATTGATGCTTAGTGATGTCCAGTGATGTATAATGATGTCTAGTGATGTATAATGATGTCTAGTGATATATGATGATGTCCAGCGATGTCCAGTGATGTATAACGATGTCCAGCGATGTCTAGTGATGTATAATGATGTCTATTGATGCTTGGTGATGTCTAGTGATGTATAAAGATGTCTAGTGATGTATAATGATGTCCAGTGATGTCTAGTGTTGTATAATGATGTCCAGTGATGTATAATGATGTCCAGTGATGTATAATGATGTCCAGCGATGCCTAGTGATGTATAATGATGTCTATTGATGCTTAGTGATGTCCAGTGATGTATAATGATGTCCAGCGATGTCTAGTGATGTATAATGATGTCTAGTGATGTATAATGATGTCCAGTGATGTATAATGATGTCCAGTGATGTATAATGATGTCTATTGATGCTTGGTGATGTCCAGTGATGTATAATGATGTCTAGTGATGTATAATGATGTCTAGTGATGTATAATGATGTCTATTGATGCTTAGTGATGTCCAGTGATGTATAATGATGTCCAGCGATGTCTAGTGATGTATAATGATGTCTATTGATGCTTGGTGATGTCCAGTGATGTATAATGATGTCTAGTGATGTCCAGTGATGTATAATGATGTTTAGTGATGTATAATGATGTCTATTGATGTTGAGTGATGTATAATGATGTTTATTGATGCTTGGTGATGTCTAGTGATGTATAATGATGTCCAGTGATGTCTAGTGATGTATAATGATGTCTAGTGATGTATAGTGATGTCTAGTGATGTATAATGATGTCCAGTGATGTATAATGATGTCCAGCGATGTCTAGTGATGTATAATGGTGTCTATTGATGCTTAGTGATATCCAGTGTGATGTATAATGATGTCTAGTATGTGTAATGATGTCTAGTGTGATGTATGATGATGTCCAGCGATGTCCAGTGATGTATAACGATGTCCAGCGATGTCTAGTGATGTATAATGATGTCTATTGATGCTTGGTGATGTCTAGTGATGTATAATGATGTCCAATGATGTATAATGATGTCCAATGATGTCTAGTGATGTATAATGATGTCTAGTGATGTATAGTGATGTCTAGTGATGTATAATGATGTCCAGTGATGTATAATGATGTCCAGTGATGTATAATGATGTCCAGCGATGTCTAGTGATGTATAATGATGTCTATTGATGCTTGGTGATGTCTAGTGATGTATAATGATGTCTAGTGATGTATAATGATGTCTAGTGATGTATAATGATGTCCAGTGATGTATAATGATGTCCAGTGATGTATAATGATGTTCAGTGATGTATAATGATGTCTAGTGATGTATAATGATGTCCAGTGATGTATAACGATGTCCAGCGATTTCTAGTGATGTATAATGATGTCTATTGATGCTTAGTGATGTCCAGTGATGTATAATGATGTCCAGCGATGTCTAGTGATGTATAATGATGTCTATTGATGCTTGGTGATGTCTAGTGATGTATAAAGATGTCTAGTGATGTATAATGATGTCCAGTGATGTCTAGTGATGTATAATGATGTCTAGTGATGTATAGTGATGTCTAGTGATGTATAATGATGTCCAGTGATGTATAATGATGTCCAGTGATGTATAATGATGTCCAGTGATGTATAATGATGTCCAGTGATGTATAATGATGTCCAGTGATGTATAATGATGTCTAGTGATGTATAATGATGTCTATTGATGCTTAGTGATGTCCAGTGATGTATAATGATGTCCAGCGATGTCTAGTGATGTATAATGATGTCTAGTGATGTATAATGATGTCCAGTGATGTATAACGATGTCCAGTGATGTATAATGATGTCTAGTGATGTATAATGATGTCCAGCGATGTCCAGTGATGTATAATGATGTCCATTGATGTATAATGATGTCCAGTGATATGCAATGATGTCTAGCAATGCCTAGTTGCGTGTAAGGATGTATATTGATATGTTATGATGGGTATCTATGATGAATTATGGCTATTGATGTATATATGCCAGCTAAAAACAAGTGCGATTTTACTATTGGTGTATACTGGACATAAACTTATTACCTTTTTTGTCGCGAAATACTTTACTGAATTCCAATATGGCCGCCAATGTGGAAATCCAGGATGCAAGTAAAGATGAAAATATCGCACAAAACGAAACATTCAAAACCCTTGTGAGTGTCAAATTACTATTTTGCCTTTATTGGATTCGTTATTTTTGTGTTTAATGTCATTTTAATTCGAAAATCGTGTTTTACAGGGAGTTACGGAAGTACTTTGTGAAGCATGTGGGAAAATCGGTTGGAATAATCCTACAAAAATTCAACGTGAATGTATTCCCTTGGCTTTGCAAGGTTGGTTGTAGGAATTTAGATATAAGGCAGTAACTTGAGACATAACTACACTGGTAATATTTAGAGTTATATAGTTTAAGGAATGATGTCTGTCAAATAAAATATATATAGTCAAATGTTTTTCAGTTTTTGTATTTTCTCTCAAAGGAAAGGATATCATTGGTCTTGCAGAGACAGGATCTGGTAAAACAGGGGCATTTGCCTTGCCAATTCTTCAAGCTTTGTTAGAAAACCCACAAAGATTATTTGCTTTGGTTATGACCCCAACCAGGTATTTAATATATTATTCAATCCTAATAACCACAAGTACAATAAATGTATTTATTTTTTTCTTGCGGTCCGAATTCATATTTTAGTGTTTCCTGCAATCTGATTGGCTACGCGAGAGGCCATATGAGGCCGTATGGACCGTGCCAGATTCAAAAGCACAGAGCCAATGCTAAAATATTAATTCGGACGGCGAGAAAAAAAGTCAATCTATTATAACCAGTTTAGTCGGCCCGTATAGGGAAATATTTCCCTCTGCCTCAAAAACGTCCTTCGGCCTCAGGCTGTTTTTGAGACCTTGGGAAATATTCCCCTATATGGACCTCCAATCTGGTAAGTAACATATATATATTTGTCTATCTAGGGCCCTGTATGTTAGTTATAGCGATGATATAGTGATGAGAAGTATTTGCTAATGGTATGAATTTTCTAGGGAACTTGCCTTCCAGATATCTGAACAATTTGAAGCACTTGGTTCTGTGATAGGTGTCAAATGTGGTAAGTATTTGTTTTCATTGTAAGATGTCCCGCGCTTTTCAATAAACCTGCGGTGTTTTAATACTAGTAAAAAAATTTGATGATACAATAGTTGGTATTGTATGTCTCCTTATTCAGCGGTTATAGTTGGTGGTATTGACATGATGTCTCAGTCATTAGCCCTGGCAAAAAAACCTCACATAATTGTAGGTAAGTAAGCAAATATCAACATGAGAATAAAAAAGAAATTTGAATGTCAGCTGGAAAAAATATTTTCAGGAGTTACAACATCATAAATATATGGTAGTTACATCTTAGCCTTATTCTGTTTTATTTTAGCAACACCTGGAAGAATAGTTGATCACCTTGAAAACACAAAAGGATTTAACTTAAGGCCCCTGAAATTCTTAGTAAGTCTGTTGATATTGCTTTCCTCTAACAGCAGTTTATTGCACTGTACAAAATACTGAGTTTTTTAAATCTTGTAGGTCATGGATGAGGCTGACAGAATTTTAAATATGGACTTTGAGAAAGAAGTTAGGATTTATGGTTTATTTTAAATCAATACAATTAATTTCATCCATTTTTTATTCTTGATTCTGATGGTTCTACTTCCATAGGTTGACAAGTTGCTTAAAGTCATTCCAAAACAAAGACGAACATATCTTTTCTCTGCCACTATGACAAAAAAGGTAACTTCACAAATGAGAAATTTTATATTTTTTGAGGGCACTAATAAATCACAACTCCCTCTCTACAGGTTAAGAAACTTCAAAGGGCCTCATTACAGGATCCAGTTAAAGTTGAAGTCTCAACAAAGTAAGCTCTAAGTTTCAATGATTTTCAATGCACGTCATATACACGCACACGTACAATGTTGTGCTGCCCACATTGTTCAGAGTTGTTCAGAGAACAATATTGTTACACCCGATTCATTTTCAACAATACTGTTCAATGTCGACAACAACGGTTAACAATGTGGGCACGCACAACATTGTTCCACCCTGTTCAACCACAGACTCAGAGTTTTTGGACTGATTTATTATCAGGATGGCTAGTTGGCTATGTTACTGCCCCTGAAATGCTGGATGCTCTCTCTTTGCTAACTATTGCCTTGCATTTCAAGGAAGACTGATTGTATTTATTTATTGTTTTTACAGGTATACAACAGTGGAAAAACTTGTACAAAGTTATATTTTTATACCAAGCAAATACAAGGTGGGTGATTATATTATAAATACTGCATCTTGGTATATCTCTACATGTTTCGTAATTAATCACACACATTGATCTGTTCATCTTAGGATTGTTATTTGGTCAGCATATTAAATGATCTTGCTGGAAATTCTTTCATGGTATTTTGTGGGACTTGCAACAATGTACAGAGGTAACAACTTCTAATACTTGTTGCATATTCTTATAAATATTTACATTTTATTTAAATTGTATTATTTGTGTTTTTTAGAACAACATTACTTCTAAGAAACCTTGGCTTACATGCTGTTCCATTGCATGGGCAAATGAGTCAAGTAATTGTTTGGATGCCCTTTGCATGTTCTCAAAGTCTTTTTTGTTCAATTTTTTAAAATTTTATTGTAGTCTAAACGTCTTGGTACGCTAAACAAGTTTAAGTCAAAAACTCGATCCATATTGATTGCCACAGATGTTGCTAGTCGGGGGTTGGATATTCCCCATGTTGATGTTGTTATAAATTTTGATATTCCCACTCATTCAAAGGTTGGTAAATCAAGTTTTGCACTTTATTATTGTGCAGGTAAACATTGCTAACAGTTTTAACTCTTCTGTATGTTCTTATATATTGCCAAAAACAGCACCTTAGTGTGTTTATTGATCTTTTTCAGGACTATATTCACCGTGTTGGGCGAACAGCCCGGGCTGGAAGATCTGGAAGGGCTGTAACATTTGTTACACAGTAAGAATATATATCTAATCTTGCATGGGCAAAAAATTTTCATGCCGTAGTTGAACTTAGTTGCACAGCTAATATATGCAATCCCACACAGAAATTCCCCAAAATATGAAAATTTAAACATTTTCCAGGAGACAACATACATATATATATATATTTATTAATTTCTTCATTGTTTCTTTTTCAAATAGGTATGATGTTGAACTATATCAAAGAATAGAGCAGTTAATAGGAAAAAGATTGCCAAAATTTGAAGTTGTTGAAGAAGAAGTCATGATGTTGGTAGAAAGAGTCACTGAAGCACAAAGATTTGCAAAAATGGTAATAGTTTGAACTGCCTGTTTGCTGTGCTTCAGAACCCATTTCACTTAATCCAGCCTTTTCTTATTAAAGGCAACTAAGAGACTAGATAAGTAGACACTTAACATCTTTTCAGTCATGAAAGCTAGGTTGCTGGCCCTTCTTAAGTGTCATAATATGTAAAGATGAATTGTGAAGATGACTTTTACAATTTCAGGAAATGCGTGAAGCTGATGAAAAAAGGAAGCGTCCTCGTGATGAGGAGAATGATAATGTTATCCGACTCCCTGAGGGGAAACGCAGGAAGAAACGTAAACAAAGATAAGGAATGTAAAAGTAAGCTTGGATAGTTATGTTAACAGTTGTTTATTAAAATCAAACTTATTGTGTTTACCCTGAAACTAATTTTTTTACTTTTAACTACCGAAATGACTAGTTTTCCAACTATCCCTGGGAGAGGCTCTACAAACTAATGCATTGATGGTCTTGTGGTGAAGACAATATTCTGGAAAGTGGATGTTTCATATCCAGGAAGAATGTTATCTGTGATCTTTGAGCTGATGGTCTAGTGGTGATGTGTAAATAAAATCTAGGTCTATCTTACAGAAGAGAATTGCTCCAATTTTTTTTTCTCCTGTAGAAAATGTCCAAATAAAAAATATCTCTTATTAGAGAGTTTAATATCTCTTACATGAAGTAGTTCGTGTAAAATAGTAAATTTTTTTAAGTTTTATATTATTTGTGGTCTTCTGTCTTTCTTATCGCTTCGTCTAAACGCAGTTTGAACTGAAACCGCATCGACATTTTGTTTGAATATAAACAGCGATGTGTTGATCACTCGCACGGACAATTTTACCGCCTATGAAGCAGGAATTAGGCCTAATAAACAGTCTTCAACTACGTTTCTTGTGCCCCGCTGATGTCAACGAAGTGAAAGGTCTATGCTGCAAATGGTTCCCTATCGAGTATGTATCTTCATCTTTTGTAATAAATGATTTATTATTTTTCAAACGAGACTGCAAAGTTGTTTCAGCATACGAAATTTAATAGTGAATTATTGAGGATGTTTGTGTTAAAAGATATTAACATGTTTAGAATATGTACGTGTTTCTCGCTGTGTAGCATGCTGTGTGCTGTTGAAAGCATGTTGAAGGATTAAAGTGAATCAGAGTACATTATATCAATGTATATACCAAATAACCCTAGCACAACGTTCTGATGATAACTAATATTTAATTAGATTTCCATTTTTCCTTTAATTGGCCGTGTGAATGGAAGTGGATATGAGGATATCTTCTTTTGTGTTGCATATTTCAGATAACATTCATCTGCTTCAGCTGTGGTTTTATAAGATAAGACTGAAATTGGCACTTACATTTGTTTTTCTTTTGCAATTTAAATTACAGTCTCTTCTACTTTTGGCAATGGTATTTCATTTTTATAAATTTTCAGCCTCAGAAGTTTTGACTTTCGAATGTCTATACATTTATTATTGTTTTTATGATAAACTGTCAACATAATTGTAACAAATTAATTCCTCCTATTTGTATGAAGTTGGTTTTGTGGGAATTTTCACAAAAGAAATTATAGCTGCCATACAAAACCCATTTCAAAATTATTCTTTATGTTGGCCAGTTTTGTTTATAGCCATTTTTGAGAAATAAACACTGAAAAGGATGTATTGCAAAGTAATAAAGAAGGGACAAGAGTTATTTACTCATAGGATTGTAATTTCTACTATGTTTCAGTTACCCAGATACCTGGTATAATGATATCACTTCAAGTCCAAGATTTTATTCCTTGGCCGCTGTTTTAAATGGTAGGATTATAGGCATTTTGATTGCTGAAGTCAAAAGTATTTCCAAATGTAATCCCGAGGTAAGCTGTTAGAAAGGATTATTATTAACTGTATAGATTTGTGAGATATTGAGCAAAAGTTATCAGCTTATGGTTTGTTTTGTTAAATGTTTTAGGACAGTGGTATATTAGGTGGACGATATTTAAAAGACACAAGGGTTGCATATGTGTTGAGTTTGGGGGTTGTGAAGGAGTACAGGAAAAATGGAATTGGTAAGAAGGGAATGTGCTGAGCAACCTTCCTTTAAAATAAATAATATATTCTATATTTTTTTTCCTTATCAAGCATCTCTTTTATTGAACAATCTGTTTGGTTTGCTGACAACAGAAGAATATTTCAACTGTAAGGCAGTGTACCTTCATGTTCTTACAACAAACTATGTGGCTTTGGGTTTTTATGAACGTCACAAGTTTCGTTTGTTTCGCTACATGCCATGTTATTATGCAATCAAAGGAAGACAGAAAAATGGCTATTTATATGTCCTTTATATTAATGGTGGAAAACCACCATGGACATTCTCATATCCTTTCATATACAACCAGTTACAGTTGGTAGAGACATCCAGGAAGAACAGTTTAGAACTGATAGAGTTATCCAGTGTGGTATCTTTGACAGAAAGTAATACTTATTGCACCTTGTATGATATTTGTCTAACTTAGCAAGTAGAATCTTTTGGAATATTTTTTTTCCTTGACCATTTTGCAAAGATGTCTTACAATATGGTTTAAGTTTCATCTGCAGAATTCAGCCATGCAGATTGCCTTTTATACTCGCAAACAAGTTGTGGTTGAGTTTTATGAGATTGGGATTTGACGTCCAGAGAAGATTTAATTTGTATCCATTACAAAATGAACAGAAACCTGATAGCGAGTCTTTGCAATATAAAAATAGGACAGAAATGCTTCCATATTAAGACTATTGTATATATACTATTTCTGTAACACACCACCACATTAAAGAATAGAAAGGAAGTTGGTATTACAATTTACAAATTATATTCACAGGGACTCTGGACAAAAAAGGTGCTGCTTCGAGTATTGATCTAGCATGCAATGATGGATAGAATTTAAATCATACCAGTGCCCTAAAGCAGCACATCCATATAAAGTTCAATTATCTTATTGGTCTCACAAAGTGATTTTTGTTGCTTATTTAACTGCGGAGCAACCTTATGGTCAATCATCCACAACCTCTTAGTTAATAAATAATAATATATGAAAATTTATGCGCTCTATGAATGATGTGTTTTCATTTCGCCCAGACTGTTTTGACGGTCCTTTTGTCTGATTCTGATATGTCGAAGTTTCCTATTTTTTAAAGGAAAAGAAAGGCGTTATAGACAAACTGAAAGATAGTTTTGAATATCAGATAATTCAGAAAATATTTTTCTCGTTTCATATTAAAATGGACAGGAAAACAGCCGGCGCCGGGAACCGACCGAACGGTAAGAATTTAAATATAGCTATTATTAGCTTTATTTTAATCCAGGTATCTGTCTATAACAGCTTTACTTGTTTGTAAATGCATGTTGATGGTATCTTTAAGTCTAGATACAACAACTAGGTTTTTTGTAGGAAGTATATGAATGTTTGTGAACAAACAGTGGTGACATTCAACAATCATTTCCGTATTATTAGCAACCACGTAATCATCACCACAGGATTAACTGTAACCTTGTTTCTTAACCTTTGAATATACCAATAATGAATTTTTATTAGTTTTATAATCGTACAAATATTTTCACGAAGTGTAGCTGTAAAGTTAAATGGAATATTCTATCTCCCAGGAAATGAATATATAAATGTAGCGAAAGCCACCTGCAGTTGAAACTCCCATCAGAAAAATGAAGATTTTTATTCATACCATGTGATCAAAAACAACCATTTAAAAGACAATAAATAAAAAGGTGTTATATAATTGTTTGTATGCTACCATAAAATCACTATTCTAATTTAGGAATGACAATTCCATCAAATCCCAATGCTCATCACCATAGCCACTCACATGGTCATTGGAAAAAAGCTGCTGAAAGAACAAAACACATGTCTGACCCATGGCAGAAATTTCATATTGATGAGAACTTTCCAGATGAGGTTGGGATGCGTCATCGTTACAACGCTCGCAAGAAAACATGGGTTAAAGATGAGGTTCACGTACGCATGGAAGAAGAGGTTGGGATGATTATAATATGTCTTGCATTTTTTATTAATGTCTGTGGCTTATGTAGAAATTTATATTATTTATATGCCCCAGACTCTCTTTTGCATGAAGCACTCATAGTTTATAGGTTAAGGCATTTTCAAAGATTAAATAATCTCTCCTTGGATTGTAATAAAAGTATGATCATTTTCTTGCATACTCCTTCTCAATGCTTGTAAGGGTCTCTTCCTGGATAAATCAGCAATGTATTTTGTAGATTACTAACGTACGTAAACACTCCAATTGAAATGCATGTAAGTGATGTCTACTCTTTTTTTTTATTCATGATTAGTCTTTTGACAGAGGAGCTATGCGAAAGTGTTTTCGTTTGTGAGTATATATTTTTTATATCAGTTTAATGATTTGAAATTAGGCAATATTTTATTTGACTGTTGTTTGACGAACTCGTCCGTTTTTTTGCAGGAAAAAGTTATCAAATTTTACGAAGACAAGGAATTGGAAACATGCTGGAAACCATGTGGCAAAATGTTATATAAATGAAGTCTCTAGAGAAACATATTTCAGTGATGTTGTATTACAAATGGATGCTAAGCTCTGGGGAGAGGAATATAACCGTCATTTTCCACCCAAGAAGGTATTTGTGTTTGTGACTTTATTATACTTGGCTCCGGATGAATCTGATGGTATTCTTAGTGACTGCAGTCATGCAAACTTTGATAGAACAACTAATGGATCTCCTAATACATATAGAAAAATGCTTAAGTTGGTTCCTTTTACCTTTTAATGCATAACTTTCATATCTTTTAAAGGTTGATATTCTACAAATTTCTGTTTTGGAAATGACAAACAGAGAAGGTTCCCCATTGTTTCATATTGAACATTTTATTGAAGGAAAATACATCAAGTATAATTCAAACTCTGGTTACATACATCTGGATGATACTTTACGTGCCACTCCACAGGTAGAATAGAAAACTTATCTTTGCCAACTATCCACTCTTAAATCTTAATAATTCACCAGAAAATCTGGAGGATTTTAATAGTTTAACATTGTTTCAGGCATTCAGTCACTTCACATTTGAAAGATCTAATCACAATGCAATGGTTGTTGATATACAAGGTACAGGAATGTAGTAATGTTCAATGTGTGTTAAATGGCAGCAGATCTACAATGTATTTTTACTTATATATTCAGGTGTGGGAGATTTATATACAGACCCTCAGGTTCACAGCACAAATCTCAATGAATATGGAGAAGCTAATCTTGGAACAAAAGGAATGGCTTTGTTTTTTAGCTCCCATCGTTGTAATAAGTATGTTATAACATGCTATATTTTTATAATCATATTGAAATTTAATGTTTTAATAAAATGCAATGTTTTCTCTAATTTTAGAATCTGTGAATCAATGGGCCTGTCACCATTCGACTTGAGCGATGTGGAATTAAAAAGAATAGAAAACCAAGCACAACTTTTGACAAACTCTCTTACATTAAGTAAAGATATGGCTTGCCTTGCAGTCACTGCCACCGATGATCCCCCGTTATCTCACCCACCGTGTTCACCGCCTTCGCCATTTACACCTAATAGCCCTGGTTCACCCCATTCACCCCCTCTCTCTGCGTCATCGATCGAATCGGATTCCATGAGCGACTCGTCAGAATGTTCTTCGAACTTCGGAGACAGCAGTGGGGTAAGCGTGTGTTTTGACAAGTTTCTAAGTCAGGATAATAATCCCTGCAGAACACTGTTGTTCACAACGTTATTCCTTTTCAAATGTTTGCAACGTTTTACTTCAGGACGATAGAAGCAGTGGTGATGAGTATTTCTTTGGATCGGGAGTTTTTTCTCACCGATCATCTTCTGTGTCAGTCGAGACACTTGCGATGGCTAAACTTCTGCGAAAACTTTCTCAGAATCAATCTGTTCTTGGAGAGGTGTGTATGTGTTACTGGGGATAAAATTTCTCAAGATGTATGGCGTTTGACGAAGAAATCTTCATAGTCTAGTGACACCCAGTTTAGCTGCTAGCTGGAAACACTAAACTTTGTGTTCTTTCTATTTTATCGGTTACAATACGTCAAATTTTATTTTAAAATTTAGGTAATGAATTGAAATAACTGAAAGTAAATGTGTCAAAATTGTATTTTTTAGATTCACTTCGTTTTAGCGCAACTAAACGAAGCAGGAAGATTCACAGATCAAAATCCAGACCTTGAATCAGCAATGTTCCATTTAGAGCACGCCGGGTCTTGTTTTTACCCAATGGCAGTGAAAACTCAGGCTGAAATCTATCTTCAGTTACCACATGAGATGTTGTCCTCCTTGTCTGCTGAGGTAAGCCATCCAATCTTCTTTCTTGTACGAGGAAAACTAAACGCAGACGACCCGAGATGACAGACCTTATAAAATGCCCTTGCAGGCAAAACGTTCATTGTTTAATTCCTCATCACAGGATACGGAGGAGAATCAAGAACGTGGCATCCGTTGTATGGAGATTGCCAGTGAGAATGGTGATAAAGAAGCAATGTTATACATGGCACGTGCCTTTGACACTGGCACTGGTCTGAAGTAAGTACTAGTATTGTTTCATAGCTGTCCCTAAGTACTCAGATGCAGTTCCTCTATGACCAGACTGGTCTGTTAAATATTCTGGCGTTAGAGATCTATTTCAGATTGTTAAATATATGGTTAAAATGACTTTCAATTTCCCTTCAGTGGAAGAGCTTTACCAATCTGACCAATCAATAAAAAATATCATACAATTAACTTTCACTTGAATCAAGAATTGTGTCTAAATATTTAGGTTTAAGTCGTGGTCAGAAGCTGTCAGACTATACGAAGAAGTCGTACAGTCGATGGAAAACGATGAAACGCAGACCACCTCGGTCCAGTTAATTACAGATCCTCCGTCGAAACTATACGCGAGGATGGCACAGATGTACAGAGAAGGAGGACATGGGATAGAACGAGATCCACAGAAATCAATGGATATGTATAACATGGCTGGGGAACATGCTATGACTGAAATGAAGGGGAAAATGGCGAATAAATACTTTGCACTTGCTGAAGAAGTGGCGGGTGAGATAGAAGACTGATCACTAGTCAAGGTATGCGTTATTTTTGTTTATTCTCGTCATAACCTTCTCTCTTTCCAACATTATAATACACAAGTTCGTTAAATAATGTGTTACGGAGCTTCGGAATTTAACGATACTTTTAACGGAATGTTATCTTTCTTGTTTTCACGTCCTCGTGTGATTGAAACTTATGTATATTTGGTGTCTGCAACGTTTACTTGTTCTGTAAAAGAAAGTTATGAAATTAAGAAAATGATTTTCACTGATCCCAAACGCACGTTTATTGGAAAAATATTTCTCGAACTCTTCCTCGGGAAATTGAAACTTCATAACTGCATGATTAGGCAATTCTTTCAATAACTATAGTTAACTATCATTCATACAAAAAGCTTCATTGTTAACCTGCGATCTGTTTGTTTCATTACCTTAGAAGGTTGCTTACAAATCTTCGCGCATTTTTTCATAAATTTTCCGAATTTCCCGCCTTCTTTGGATTTCGTTCTACTAACGACTTTTCTAATGCTTGCTTGTGCTTCGATTTCTTTTTCTTTCTTCTTCTCGATGTGCGTCGCCTCGGCTGCCATTCTTGCAGCTACTCCTGCTGTCGTGTGTTTTAGACCACCCAACTCTTTCTCAATACCTCGTTTTGTCATCTCCAAGATTTCCTCTTCGTTGTTCTTCACGCTGTGGTAATCGCTTGATGTCTTGTGCTAGAGATGAACACATTGTGTCAAATTTGCTAATCTTTGCTCTTGTACAAGAACAAGTGTTGGAAATGATGCGCAAGGCTTCGCTCTCCTCAACCGGGGTTTAATTGGTTACAATACAAACAAATCATTTGATTTTAGACCGCCAAAGGCTTTGTAATACACGCCATATTACTGTAGTTCAGGTCAGTTTCACTGGAATTCATTGCTTTTCACTCACCCCGGCGTGCGCTGGTGTCCAGGACTGTTTTCTGGCGTTGATCGCAGCTTGTTCAGGTGACGTAATCATTACATCAGAAGCGAGAGACTTCTTTCTTTCTGTGATTGATTGTCTTCTTCTTTGATTCACTAAACACTTTTCTGCGTTCACAACATCGCTGACGAGAGAACTACGCCGCCTCCCTGATTGTCCTTGAGACTTGTAGCTTTCTAAAAAAACAGTTCAGCGAAACGTTTTCATTATGTCAAAGTCATGCAAGCTCACTTGTCTATATACAAACTATACTTTAGCTTACCGTCGTATTGATATTGTTTCTTTCGTGATTTGCTGGCCATCGTGGATGCAATTGTTGAAACTTCATCCTTAAAACTCATTCTTCTTTGACTTGGCTCTGCCATAGACATGCGTTTTTCGTCACCTTTTTAAGCAATAAAAATATCCCTTAAATCCCTACGTATCCCTACGTATTAGTTTGACACACCCTGTTGAAGAAACCTTCGATAGGGTATTCATTTTCTCTCCACATTCATTTCATTTTAATATATTTCAGAGAAATGCAGCCTTTGACGAGCGCCTGGAATGACGCATTGCACCGCTGTGTGATATTATTATAATCAGGTCTACGTGTACCTACAGACGGAGGAATTTCCGGAAGTGTGGGTGGATTTGGGGTACGCGTTGATCGGCGACGACTACTCACAACAGGAGGGGGCACATCGGTTGCTAGCGAGGGTCTTCGCATCTCATTGATCACTTTATCCATGTCTTGTTTGCACCAATCACATTCCAGGATTTGGTCGCACGTGATGCGAGTTTTCTCGTCGGGGTCCAGCATTCGACGTATCAGATCACGACACTCTGGATATAAAAACGAAGCATTTTATGGTATGCTATTCGAATTATAATGGGGGTAAATGGGGGTAAATTGTACTAACACATACATGGGGAGAATTATAATGAACATTATGTTATGATTGTCAATTGTAAATAAATTAGTTAGAGTTTGGCATGCACAGGAATGACATTGACGTATTTTATATTTTTTGTTTCTCTAAATTTTGTTTGTTACTTTGCTGACCTTTAGTGACATTTTTGGTGAACATCAATTTTTTGGGTGTTTCATTCTTGACAAACACCTTGAGTTCATCGTCACCATAAGGCAATCTTGAGCAACTCAGTGCATACAGAACAACTCCAATGCTCCACACGTCTGCTGCCATTCCGTCGTATTTTTCGCCTCGCAAGATTTGTGGGCATGCGTAGGCAAATGAACCGCAAAATGTCTCCAGTGGCTTGCTTTTGTAAGTGCTTGTCGCAAAACCAAAGTCTAAAAGATGAAAGTTGTGAATTAAAAACAGACTTCGATTTTTACCAAACTAAATTACGTTTACGCTGAAAAGTTTTGTGGGATCTAAACTACTTCTCCGTGAGGCAATTATCCGTGTGATTTCACTAAATCTACGTGGTTTGGTTTATCTCACCAGTAATTTTCAGACGTCCCTTGTTATCAAGTAATATATTTTCGCACTTAATATCACGATGAACAACTTTCTCTTTGTGACAGTATCCTACACTCAAAACTAGCTGCTGAAATAGTCTGCGTATTTCCGCCTCTTGCAATTCCTCGCTGCTGTTGAGATATTCGAGCAAGTCTCCTTTTTCCACATACTCCATGATCAGAAAGACTTTCGTCTGTGTTTCGATCACTTCGTAGAATTTTGTCTTGGAAAAAGAAGAATTATATATTATAATTACCTCATGTAGAAAACATTGAGGTGTGAGTATCATCTGAATAGAATTCAAGAGTCTTAGGTGAAAATTTTTGTAGCAAGTTGTCGAAAAGTTATCATTTATTTTAACTTCAATTGACAACATAGAGAGGATTGAAAAAACTTTAGGACAAGTCTGCTTCCCACCTTCTTCATCTATTATCTCAAGTACTGTTAATTGTTTCTTACCACATATGGATGCTTGAGCCTTTGTAGAACCTGAATTTCTCGTGGTAAAAATTTTGCCAAGTACTCCTTTGATGCGCGTCGTTTATTGATGATCTTTATAGCGACATGACAGTTCTGTTTTGTAGAAATGGCCAACTTCACCTTAGCGTATGCCCCTTCGCCCAAAGTTTTTCCAAGAGTGTAGCCGTTTGCCTCTAATGTCGATTTACGTTCCGATCGTTGTGGGACGAGCGCCCCCTTCTTTTGGACAAGTGTGATCGCAGACTGAGGCGAACTCATTATCTTTTTGAGGTTCAGGTGGGTGGGTTAAGCCTTATGCGACATTTTGCGCTGTTCGTCAACTTTCGCGTTGGGTCTTCTATTATGACATCATCAATGTTTTAGTAATTAGAATATGTCGCGCAAATTGGGATTGATTTAGTGCAAGATTTAGTGCCTAAATGGAGTTATATATAGGAAATTTTAATCGATCTCAATCTTTGTCAAGCAGATCTTGTCAGGAAAACTTAAAATAGTCGGCGAAATAATGAACACGGCAAGTTCGATTAAGTTGTGTTTTGTTATATTGTGCCTTAAACGAAGTACTCTAGTAATTTAAACCCCATTTTTCGCGGGAACATTTTCTTCAAAAAATTTATATTTTTGTCAGAAAACAAAAATGTTAAAAAAATTTCCAGTTATTGCTGGGTTTTCTAAAAATGTAAGGGTAATAACTTGGTCCCTCCGACGACTTCTCAATGATTTCAGGCGTAATAATGATTCTGACGGAAATGAAAAGGTATATTTTCAATACATAACATTTTATATCAAATGTATATTCTGATATCTTTTTGTTTTGTTTTGTGTTGTAGTTGGAACAATTTAGTGGTCGCATCCCAATAGGTAAGAAGTAAAAAATAGCATGTGTTGTTATGTTCCACAGAGACATTTTCATTATATATATATTGTCTATGATATCTTCAGACTCTCTCATCATAAAGTATTCCAGAAGTCCTGGACCAGGTGGACAAAATGTCAATAAAGGTATTTTTCATCTCTTTTTGCAACTGCAGAATAATGCTGTACTAAAATCTATCAATAATTCTCCAAATTTCATGTGCCTTGTTTTGTTCAGTTAACACAAAAGTTGATATCCGCTTTCATGTAATGTCGGCAGAATGGATACCATATTGGATCAGACTGAAACTGCTCAAAGAGGTAAATCTAATTGCATGCTTTATGTAATTCATATTTGACATGGACTGCTACAGAAATCCCAGTTTGATCACAATATATTTATTGCCTTGCAGAACTGTAATTTGCCTTATATAAAAACTACTACAATTATTTTTGTAAATAAATTTTAGATATCACAACCATTTGCACATTTGCCACACTAATCTGCTCTAATTAAAAATGTTTTTCCTTACCCCCATGAAATGATTATTTCTAGGAAGACAGTCGAATCAACAGGCAAGGTGAACTAGTTGTGCAATCAAGTCGATTTCGAAATCAACAGAAAAACCTAATGGATGGTGTTGAAAAAGTTCAAGAAATATTAAAAAATGTCTCGATTATTCCAAGTGAAACATCTGAAGAAAAGAAAGCAAAGATTAATGAATTGTATGTGGGTAATTGTTTGAATTGTTAAAGTAATTGAAATGTGCAAATTAAGAGAGATAACATACAGAATTTGCATTGTCTTGATTAAATATTTCATGATCAACCTTTCTTTTTAGAATGAAATCTGATAATGAACGCCGATTAAAAGAGAAGAAATTGAGGTCGAAAAGAAAGCAGGAAAGATTTCGAAATGAGTAAAATCATCTTCTAAAGAGGTAATTCTTGAAATGCTTGTGGCGTAATTAAAATAATTAAATTATTTGACCCTAAAAATATCCCATGCGATTAGGCAGCATACAGAAGAATGAAATCTAAAAAAGATACTCAATGGATAAATAATATATCCAATAGTTTTCAACTCATGTTGCATTTTTATATATGTTTCCCCAGGTGTTGTGATGTCAACCTTTAAGAAAAAAGATGATTCTGCCCATAAAATAAGATTAGTTGTCATTAGAAACAAGACGCAGTGACAAATCCATGCTGATGAGTGACCAGCGTTTTGAACAGGTTGAGCTTTGTATCTGCGAAGGTCTATTAAGGTGGCTGTTTGAATAAGATGTTGCAGCATTCCCAGTAGATCTTTTGGAATGTCAATAAATCTTGAATCATCGCTATTTAATAGTAAGCTATAAACGTGAAAGGCATGCCACAGTAGAATACCTGTCAGAGAAAAGTACAGCAGAAGATCTTCATGATCTACTGAACTGCGTTCGGACTCACGTTGGTGTGATTGTAAGGATAGTTTAGAGATTAAACACGCCAGGATTTGCGTTAAGTAGAGAACGAAAATCCCAAATGAATACACTATATGATAGCTTTGATGGTTTGCGTCAGTCGCCATTAAAACCAAAATAATAAAAAAGACAGCGAAGCAACTACCCAGAAAACAACCCTTTCCTGATCTCCATCTTGATTCTTCAATCGTTACATCATTAAAGTCGTTTGTATTTTCGACGTCTTCTGATGGAAGAGCGTCAGGTATTTGACAGTGGCATGAACGACAGTGACGTTGTAACCAAGCACCCGCCTCTCTTGTGTATAAATTACTCCATATTTGATAAAATAAACTAGCAGCAAGCAACAAATATTCTACGAAAAACGGGCTAAAATAGTGTTCTGAGTTTCCTAGCTTGATGGGATAATTCTTACACTCTTTTAACATCTCTTCAGCCTGTTCTGAACACAAAGCCCAAAACCAGAGCGCCAAATTTGTTCCTAGAAGATGAGCCAGGGTGATTTGAATGAACGGCGTGTTTTCTGGAATTCTTGCTTCATAAAAATGATGAAGAAATGGTATCTGTGACAAGGTAAACATTGCTTTCATTGCTGCGACAACTGAATCTAGCATTTTGCCGCATGAAAGATTGTCTATCGCAATACACAAGCTGTAACCAAAAGTGGAAATGCCGAAGACACTCAAACCACCTTCGTAGAATAGACGCAATAGTGTACCCCGGGTTTGAACGGAGCTGGAATTTGTCCCTGCTTCGTACAAATACGACATTAGAACAATCGCGACGATCATACTTAGAATTACAAATATTTTTTGAATGTTTTCAGCCATTGGCAAATGAACATTCTTCAACGCTACAACCAAATTGAGGACGACGGAAGAGCAAAGGTAAAAATAAAGATACATTATTCCTGTTTGATATTTGTTATACTGGCGACGACCATGAAGTGCGTGTGTTAATCCTGAGCACGGCAGACAAAAACATCGTAAAATTGCTTCAAGTTTCTTGCCAAGAAATTCTCTCCACGAACCAGCGTATAAGTCTTTAATATGCTGCCATTTATAATGAAAAGATGATAGTAATGTGTAGTACCATTTCTCGCATATTATGTTTTCTGAAGGAGTGACAGGTCGTTCATTGGTATAACTTAAACCAGAACTATCTGAGCCCAATAAAGACGACGACATGGTTGGTGCGGCTTTTGGTTGAATTGTTTTATAGCTTGCTATATTCTTGAAATAAGTATGGTTGCCGGAATTGCCTTGTATGATGGTTGACAGAGACTTAGTCCTATTCCGGTCTTCGGAAACACGGCAAAATGCCCATCTGGAATGTTCTTGGAAAGTGTAACAATTCGTGATTCAATGTCTATACTTCCGCTTATTTTCCCACTAAAACTAAAAACAAATCGCGTCAATAACCCTAATCCATATCTCACGTGCGCTGGCTTGGTACTTTATACTGTCAATTATAGCTTGAGGTCTTCGAAGCTACACTGTAAAATTGTAAATGTTTCCCCTCTGCGTTTTGCTCGGTAAAGAGATATGTCAAGAGCTATTCATATCCATTGATTTAAGAATTGAACGTGGTATTCACTATTCTTCACACGAGAATTTTCCGGAAGCTGCACTTGATTTAACGATTTTCTGACCTCTATAAATACAATCTCGTAATTCGAACCTGTCACTTCTTCAGACCTGTCACATAATATGCGTAAAATGCTAAGATAGGGCAAGAAACTTGAAGCAATTTTACGATGTTTTTGTCTGCCGTACTCAGGATTAACACACGCACTTCATGGTCGTCGCCAGTATAACAAATATCAAACGGGCATCATGTATCTTTATATTCACCCTTTGCTCTTCCGTGGGGCTCAATTTTATTGTAATGTAGCGTTGAAGAATGTTCATTTGTCAAATAGTAAAATATTCAAAAATTATTTAATAGAAATACTTTTTTCAGCACTGTGGTGCACTTATTGCTATACGCACAGGTTTTACGTGAAACATCGCGTATGGTTCTAGGTGTAGCCACCTGCATGGGCCGAGTGTATCTCTTTGGCCTTATTAATTTCACCTGCAGACTGTGTTTCTTGTGGACAGATGCTATGTGCAGTTGTTACAATCATAAAAGCCATGTTTATCATACCCCAAATACTGTTCCTTTATTAGTTTTGGGATGAAAGAATTGCGGATTACACGCAGTTTATTCTAATTACCCTGGGCCAGCGCATCTTGGACTTTTAGGAACAAATTTGTTTCTACTGATACCGTAACACAACTATCATACAAGAATGCAAAAAGAACTTGACAACTATTGCATATATTGTCCATCCATTGAGTATTTTATTATAGATTTTATTTCTTGCTTTTAATTTTAATGCTTTTAATTACAAACTAATCAACTAAAATCTGATTATGTTATTTTTCATATAGAATAACAATATTCACTGAAATTTATATTGTCTTGGTGTGTCCTATGCAACATTGCCAAAAGTTAAAAGTACTTTGTACACAGGCACATTATTACAAAACATAATGAAAAATATGCAATTAAGTACAAAAAATTTCCCTCCCACAGGGAATGTGAAGCTGCAACAGGCAGAAATAGTGTATTTAACAAGTTGAATGCAAGATTTTATCTTGTATATAATATGAAGTATTGCTTGTAGTCCTCACTCAATCATGTATATTGAAAAATATCGCCAAGATTTGTTCCCTACAGATCCTGTTTTTCTTTCGGAGTTTCTTGTTCTGTGTTAGGTTGCAGTTTATTTAATCTGTATGTTTTTGCCTTTTCCTGAAGGACCGCCTAGAAAATTAATACAAATAATGCAATACAAACCACCTGGTTATTAAAAAAGAAGTAAACTACAGTTTAGTTAAGCTACTAGCTGTAGATTGGCTAATCAATTTCGACTGTTGATGTTCATTGAACTTTTACATATGGTATTCCTGTGGAGAACCTATGCACCTGTAAAGTAGTACCTTTTGATCATTGACGCACTTCCAAAATTTGTCCATTTCAGTTTGGCAACCTCCAATCCAGCTGTTTTTGTAGCATTGTAATAAAATTTTGTGTGTTCCTTCACAGGCAGCTAGTGATCTACAATAAAAATAACCAATGATTCAATATTTTGTCCACACAACCCAAGGTGTGTACATAGTTTTTACTAGTAAACAACTCTAACATGTCTTTCCCTGACCAAGTAAAGTTGTCGGGTTTAAATAGTCTATAGATGTCAACACACTTACAATGATTTCACAACTTCGTCTTCTTCTCGTTCCCGTTTGCTTCTATCCGATTCGTTAAACAAGTTTTTAAGAAATTCTCTAAAGCTCATAACGTGATGTTATCATTGAATCACCACCTTTTGGTGTATGGAAATAAATATTGTGTTTCCATACTGCTAACTGCTAAGTTAAATTAAGAACTAGTTTCCAATACAATGTTGGGAAACAAATTAAATAAATAAATAATCATAATAAGATATATTTTATATACAATATTATCTAGATTACTATCATCCAATTCATCGATATAATTATATTCTTTCTGAATGAATATAATATCAAGATTTTTTTATCTATGTCTTCAGTTAATATATATAGCTCAGTGAAATCCAATATGGCCGCCAATGAGAAGAAAATATCCTGGATATACATGTTTAGTTGAAAAACTCGGCCAGAATGCTTTAAAGACGTCCGTTTTAAAATATTGCAATTTGTTTAGGGAGTGTTATGCGTAAAAAAATATTTGGGGGATGGTCATATTCTCGAAATGTCTCGTCCACCAGATAAACTTAAGACACGTTTGAAGCAATTTCTGGGGTTAAAGCGTGATGCAAGTGGTTCACTCTCACCACAACTCCCACCAATTGTTGTAGAGGAACCTGTCGAATGCGACGAGCTTCTTAAGGTAGGCTTCTTATAATAGTAATGTTTGTATGACAGTATGTTACTGTATACACCTAATATAATCTCTGCCAGACTGCCTCTGGAGTCTGGACCTGGAATTATCTTGTCTTCAATGTGTTTGTTTGCAAAGAAATTTCTAGAAAAAACTATCCATGTCATTTACAAAACTATCTGCCTGTATTGATTTAAGTCCACACCAATCCAATTAAACATTCAATTTTGAAGTACATTATGATGTTATAATATAGAAATATAAAATGTTGTAGGAAATTTGCCCTGAATCTGGAAATAGCCAGTCATCACGTGCCCGTGTTTTGAAAGAGCTTTGTGAGGTTGTTGCAGCAAAGCAGTTGGAAGAGGTAAGGGAAGAAAATGTTTTGTTTCTAGAAAACTTGGATTGTAAATATATAATTTCCTTTTTTAGCATGCAGTTGAGGCTTTGTGGTTGGCTGTTAAAGATCTGCTACCAGCAGAAAATCCGCCTGATATTCGACATGTTACACTCCAATTTTTGACTTCACTTGTCACAGGACAGGTAAGCAATATAAGAAAGTTCATCCATATAAAGTATATCCATAACTTGGTTTCTCATCAAGTGCCGTGGTAATGTGTTAAAATTATCTAGTATTCAAATCTGAAACTATTACGGGCCCATTTCTTCACGGTTATTGAAAACCATGACATTCCAGAGGATTTAACACAAAGGTACAGCATGTAGCAAAGCTAGTATTCTCTCTTATAATCTGAATTGCAAAAACTAACAGTTAGTTGTGTCTTTTATTACCCAGTCTTTATCTTTTAATTTTAACTAGGTTAGAATTTCTCAAAGCTTTGTCTGCCGATGGTAAAGATATTGTGTTCTTTGAAGAAAGAATTGGTTTGTTTTATTAACTCTTTAATTTCAGAAAATATAAGAACATAAAAGTAAGCAGAACAGTTGAATGTATATTTATACTTTTTGATTTTCTAATAGGTCCGTTTTTATTATCCTTGATGTCAGCAGTAATGTTTGGAGGAAAGTGAGTTATTTTTTTAAAGAGTTTGATTATATCTCGTGCCGTTGGGGAGAGTATTAGAAACACTTTATAAAACATTTTCTATTCTTCTGATCATATTTCAAAGGTTGCATGTCTTCTTGCCATTGCTGCGAAATTTCATTCGATACAACTCAAGTTACCTTGACGATGATGTTGTTTTTGGTTTGGTGAAGTAAGATTTTCTATCCTTTCATTTTTCCCTGACCTTGTTGAAAAAAAACTATTGTTCCTTGAAAATGTTCACCAAAGAATATTTTTATTCAAAACTAAAAGTGAAACTCCAAAATTAAAGATTCATTAAAATATTGAAAATTTTCCTTGTAGGCACACTTGTGAAATATCTACGACAACAGAAAAAGAGAGTGACCTTGAGGTGCCTGTCAGTTAGAAACTAAAGCAGTATAACTATTTGTGCATTTCATATTGATGGCTTTAAACATGGTTTATTTTTCTGCAGCATTCTCTGGCTATCCTTGATGCAGTCATACGCTACAGTTCTTTGCCTTCAAGTGCTCTTTACTTGTTTCTTGTGGCAGTTTGTCATACAGTGAATATTGCACATTTCTGTGAGCCAAGTTGGAGGGTAGGTTTGATCAGTAAAGCAAGATGTATAAACCTAATGTAATGATGATCACTGGGGGTTTGTAAAGAAACTGCCGGGGCAACTCCAAATATGTGTACCCCATTTACTTGTTGAGTGATGACAGATTAGTTCTGCATTTTCTATGTGATAATCTTTTATAAGATCTGTGTTCATAAAATTTGTATTTTTTACTCAGCTCATGAGACATTTACTTGGAACACACCTTGGTCATAATGGGGTTCTCACAATGTGTTGCATTCTGGAAGATAGGTAAATGTCTGTATACTGTGCCTTACACATGTGTTTGTGTTTGACTACCTACCCTCTAAACGTGTTCATATCATACGTTTTCACGAATTATTGTACAAGCAGGCAACTAATAAAGCTTATTTTTCTTTATAACAGCAAAAACTGGAAGAAATCGACATTATTGCGAGGAGCTATTTTCTTCGTTGGAATGTGTTTGTGGGGATCAAAGAAAGTGTCCAGTTTAAAACATAAACCTGTTGCTGTTTTACCATCTTTCTACAAGGTAATGTTGTACCTGCAGACGTCTCATAATTAACGCTTTGCATGAAACTGACGTTGTTATTAACGCAAGCGTTTGTTGTTTTATTTCAGGTCTTGTCGTGTGATGATGAGAGTGTGATATGTGAAGTGACTTTATCCATGCAAAGATTAGTGAAGAAATATGGATTAAAACAACACGATACTGCATGGGAATCTATTCTTGACATAACCTCAACACTTCAGGAATATGTTGAGGTAGGCCATTGTCGTTCGTTACGCTGTAAAACCTGCCTACTTTACGGCTCAGGAGATTATCAAGATCACGGGTGTTATAAATTACGATGTTCTTCATGGAAAGCTGCCCCATATTTCATCTGAATTTTATTTTCAGAGATTCCCATCTTGCGTGAGTGTGGCAGAAAACTTTCATGTTCTGTTGTCGTACATTGAAGAATTGTATGAGAAAAATGAGTTCAACGGCTCTGCTGACAAACTGTTTGATATCGTCGCTAAATGCACGAAAAAGAGACCAGTGAGTATGAACGTCTTTTGTTTCTTGATAATGCGTTTTGCAGCTGAATAAAATGTCGTTGTTTGCAGGAATCCTCAGTTATTCTCCTGGTTTCTCATCGTGCCCAGTCTCTTCATCCTTACTGCGAAAACTGGTTTGAAAATATTAAAAATTTGGTGGAGAAATACTTCAAGTGTGTGGTCTTCTTTTTTTTATATTTTGACATGTAATAATGTAATATTGTGGTATGTTGATTTTTGTTTAAGTTCGTGATGTATTTCTATGTAGCCTCAGTCTTATCCTAATGCCTAGTGGGAATTTTTTTCAGATGTGAAGAGAGGACGGCCATCAGAATTAAAGTTCTAAATGTGCTTTGTAACATATTAGGAACGTTATCTCCGCTATATGAGGTATAAAATTTTGGTAGTTTGAATAAATTTTAGTCCATTTTACTAGACATTAGCGATATTATGAATCTTTTTCTAGTTTTATAACTCCTTGTTTTTTACAGGAAGAAATACTTGAGAATTCAGTGTTGCCATATTTAGACCACATTGCCAAAGATCGGGATATTTCTGTGCGGATCCGAGCTGTCCAGCTTCTGGTCGATGTTATTGAATCCTCTGATTCACCGAAAGTTTGCGATGTTTTGCATATAATTGAGAAGGTACTCAATACAATCCTTTTTAGACGCTTTCATTTCTCCACTCCAATTTCCCTCTTCATTCGTGATGAGCTGATACTGTACTTCACTAGAAAACTTTTGCTTGTCATTGAAATCTTCCTGACCTGAACCTAACTACAGTATATATCTGCAAATTGGATCGTTTTTCACGAGAGTCGTGAATCAAACGCATCAGTGAAGTAAAAAGATGTATATTTCATTTATCGATTCCAGATTGCCCACTGTCCAGTAGACCCTCTCAAGCGATACGTTAAGCCGTCATGTAAAGAACAGGTAAGGTAATTATAGATACTGCAAGGTATATGTAGGAACATCTAGGGACATATAATTACATCTGTAAATTGTCTTTGTTGCTGCAGCCTCAGGATGAAACAGCGTTGAAGGACATCAAAGAGGCTGTATTAGGATTAGTACGCTTGTTCAAGGTAATGAAGGACATGCAAAGATTGTCCACCCAAATTCGTTCATTGTGATGAAGTTATTTTCGTGAACAAAAATAAGTGTAATTTAATGCAACACTTGCTTCACTTTCAGTAATTTCATTTTATTTTTGCAGGTGAAATTGTTTCGTAAACCTCAAGAACAAGCCGAACGAATATTCAATATCTTAGTGTACCACATAAAAACGCATTATGACAATGGCTATCGGACGTATATTGCATCGGAAATACGACTTGCGGTAAGTATAATTCAATGTTATTTCTCGCGATTTTTCTATGATGTCTTACATTGTGTTTTTTTTAAAGATTCTTCAATGTTTCCTCAGTCTGCGAGCTGACAATTGTCAACGTCTAGGCCTTGTGCAAGACAAAAGTGGAAAAGTTAAATTCACTTCGTATTTTGTTTGTTCTGAAAGGAAAAGGTTGGTTAATGATGATAGTGCAACGCATGTCAGGTATTCTGCTTCCAAAATTCGTTTTCTTCTTAGTGTAATACATTCTCATTTTTGTCTTAGTTCTGCAGAAGATAAGACAACCGGGATTGTTTCACTGCCTTACAGCGAGGCAATGAATGTTATTCTTGTGTGCTTACAACAGGTAAACTTTTCTATCATAATATATCATCTAGCATTAAGTTTCGATTAAAGTTCAACTTTCTTCATTTTCTAGGAATTGGAATGGGAGGTGTTGGATGTTGTTCTGAGAAACTTTCCAGAGGCACTGCAAGATAAAAACTTGATACTTTCTGGAAAGCAATACTTAAGTTCAATATGTACAGTGTTATCTAAGATGGTAAGGGATGTGAAGTTGTGTACTTTTCACACCAAAATCATGAACTAAAAATTTTACTTTGCATTCAGGTTTCAAATTATGATTTTCTTCCTGGATTATTTCGTGTTCCTCATGATATGCGCCGACCTCATTTGTACGCTAGAATTTTTCCAGTACGGTTCTTATCATTCAGTTTTTTGCATCTATCATATCTTACCATAAATATACCAAAACCATAGCATAACCATACAATATCATATCATATGATCATATCATACCATAACTAACCATAACCATATCATACCATACCATACGATAACCATATCATACCATAATTATATCACACCATACTATACCATAACCAATTTATACCATAATTATATGATACCATACTAATGATTTAATTAGATATTTTATTGTAACACGTGCAGGTATTAACAGAGCTATGTACGTACCACATTTTTATTGGTCAAGATGAACAGGTAAGAACCTGCTTGACTTTATTTTCAGCGGTTGTCTGTTCCTGCTTAAACGTTGTTGTATATTTCATCTAGTTTTGTCTGATGCGTACTTTGGAGATTGGTTTGGTTGCTCATTCAGCGACGTTATGCGTATCTTGTCTCACCATATGTATGTTAGAAATGCCTTCAGTTATGGCAAGGTATGGCTACTTAAGATAGTCTGGAATTTGAGACGTTTCTTATGTCCATTAACACTTTGTAAGGAATGAAATTGATTTAAGTAATTGCAGCGTTTTAGAAGTTTATTTCTTTGGAGATATTTAAAATCGTGCCTTGATAATGTGCTCAGTGAATTTACAGAAATGTTTTTCAATAAACTCCAGCCTATGTAAATGTAACGTCTCAAGATTGTGATGCGAGATACTCCTCACAAATACAAGATCTTTGAGTAATAATCACTAAATTTTCTGTCTTAGACTGCTCAACATATCTGGAAAAGTTTACTAAACTTTCGCCAACGCCTCAAGTTGCCATACCACTGGGAGAATTTCTCTCTGGATGTTCTTGAAGTTACGTGAATTAAGGAATCTTTACGAAATATCAATGTACCTCCTAAAGGGAGCTAGGTTGTATAAACACACAATCGTAATTCGGCGAAAAGCTGGTAACATTCTTTTAAAACGTTAAATAGCATTGTCACAGCTTCGTGATTTGTACAAAAACTTCACAGCGATCCAGTTGAAACAAGTCTTTGGAATATGTTTGCCTTACACAGAATCATCGAGGTTGGTTCAACGCGATAACATCTCAAACTTTTATTATTGGTTTTGTCAAATTGATTAAAATATGATACTGGAAACTGAAATGTTTCACCTTAGATACTCTGAATACACGGTAACTCTTGCTCATAATGTCATTTCATCCTGGTTTGTCAACTGTCCACTGTTGTTAAGAAAACAATTCGTGCCATTTATTACGAAAGTAATCCACATGTCATTCTATTGCCACGGAGATCTTGCTGAATTCTCAAAGGATATTAAGAAGTGGTCTTCAAACTTTATACAGCTTAGTCAGTGTTGTTACATAATCTTGTCCTTTTCATGTTACATAATTTGCTAATATCGAGACTCGTTTTTCAATCATTAGAAAACTCTGGTAAAAGTATATGTCCTTGTATTCCTTTAGAGTCTTAAAAACACAGATATATCTTCAGATGCTGCAAACCCATACCCTAAAGTCACTAATCCCTCCACCAAATTCCAGTCACCCCCAAACTCCCTTGAGAAATCAAAGGAAGACTCCAGCAACACACTTAGTTCAGAGATGATGGAAATCGTGGTTGATATGATGGTCAAATATACATTTTCTTCTTATTTGACCCAGCCAAAAAGGTCTGTATATTGGTTTCGTATTTTTCTGCACTGTGTTTCAGGAAAGATGACTATTGTTGTTTTATATAGAACTGCAGTTGTTGAACGACTCCTGCGCAATGGAGCGTCAAGAAGTTGGTTGTTGGCAATGTGTTGATCACGGTTACAGTCAGCAAGCGGGCAACTTCGAACATGTCATGCGCATATTGTTCCGCAGGAAAAGTGTTTGTGGGAGATGATTCACTGCAGAAGGGCAAGGAGCCTGAGGTTTTAAAAGTTGAGCTTAAGAGAAACAAAAACGAGGCCTCAATTAGTCAGGTAAGGAAAATGCTTTCAGTATCATTGTCTAAATAAGCATACATTGTCTGCCCAGCGCATTCATGCTTAAACAACAAAATATATTTGCAAGAGCGACCAAGTTTTAATATTCTTCTAGTGAAAGCTCTTAGGAACGTATTTGACATTTCCAGGCTTCTTCAACTGATAGCAAAACTCATGCAGATGATTCTAGCCAGGTGTCAAACACAAAATTCGATACCAAAGCATCTGACCTTCTTACCCGCGATTTAAAGGCCACTGGTACCGTAGGCTCAGTACAGAAGTCTTGTGACTCAAGCAATGGCTGCAGTTGCGTGTGTCAAGGATGGGCTGAGATTCTGGTTCGAAGACCAACCGGAAATACTTCGTGGATTTTGAGATTACAAAATCGGCCGAAACTCGATGAAACACAAACTTCACGACCAGCGGTAGGAGAGACAGAGATTTATGAAAGTTTAATTCCAAAACAATTCTTTGGTAAGCTCATTTATTTGTAAAGTTAACGTTGTTTTTTAAAAGTTCTCGGTCAAATCGTGCCCTGAATGTTTTCGCCCACAACTTGTTAACGATGTGTCAAACCTGTTCAATGTTTCGGTTGGGTATTTCCGTTGGCGGAATGTCAAATTGATATTGTTGTATCTCAGATGATTTATCGGCCGAACTCATTAAAGAAGGAGCCAGACAACGCCTTGAAACTACAACAGAACTTCTTAGCAAGAGCGCAGACAGCGATACATTGATTGTTGATCTTGTCAAAGATCGTCTTGCATCTCGTAGAGAGGATGAGGAAACTAATATTGAAGATACCCGGGATGATGTTGAAATGAAGAAAATCGAACTCAAGGAGTCAGGTTTGTAATGTTAAAACAGATCGGCCATTGTTTGCGCATTTACGAAATGAACAAATTATCTGCTTATATTTTAGACAATGCAGAACAAAAGGTGCTGCTCACAGAACAGGGCAGATCTTCACCCTCGTCAATTTTATTACAAGATTCCGGTCAAAAGTTGAATCTTGGTTCGTCGTTTGTTCAACGAACTCGATATTTGAGTCGTAGTCCGAGAGATGGACCAAGCGCTTTTATGGTAAGAATTTCTCTTCAAACTCGCTTTGCGTGAAATTTATTTCGTGCAAGCACTTTGATTATCCATCCCCTATATTGCTTCTAACATGAATGGCAGGGAAAGCAGAAAAGAAAGATATCTTTGATTTAGACAAGCTATTTTACAATCGTTTCTTTAGCTTCTTGATGTCGTACCAGATTCCAAAGACAGTGTTTTACACAAGGAAGAAACTGAAGGCAAGCGAAATTACCCTTGCAATATGGAGGAAATATATATTATAATATGACTATATTTACATATTTTTCTTTCACAGAGAACAGTCAAGACTTATTAACTCGTGAAGAGTTTCAAAAGGTAGCAATTTTAAGATCACGAATCATCATCGCCCGTTAATTTCACCATCTGTTTAATTTTAGCCTGTTCTTGGTAAATCTCCTCTGGATGCAAGTCCTTTGAAAACTCTTTTGAGTCAAGACGAGGATGAACTTAAAGAATCCGTAAGTCAAGTAATAATAATGATAAAATTGGTCTTACGGAGTAAACTGAGCATTATAAACTGGTAAACTCAGAAACCGATAATCTCAATTTTGCACTTCGAATTACGTAATTTAATCCTCGTGGTTGAAGGTGAAGACTTGCAACGTTTCTTATTTATTGCAGGGTGACGATACCGTGGAGGATTCAGAAAATCCAGGTATTATAACAACACGTTTCCTTTGTGTAAACTTGGAGGTAAAGTTCAAAAGCAGAATGTTTCGTTCAATTAACCAGAAATATCACCTGTCCACGAGGATGACCAGACTTGCTCCCCAGAATTTGTTGACGTAAACGAAGATTGCGCAACAAATCACGCCATTATCGCTGTCGACGACACTACGTCATTACCTGGTTCTCGTGGGCAGAGTCCCCTAACCCACCTTGAGCGATGTTGTCGAGTTAGCGAGTCAAGCAGTGGAACAGTCTCGCTCCCAACTACCCCGATTTCGTCGCGAACGAAGAGTCCCGAATTTTTCACTGGAAAAACGCCGTTCCAAAATGGTCGCAGGGCTGTAAGTCCGTTACTAGATACCCCTGGAGGAGAAACCCCTGGAGGAGAAACCCCAGCAGCAAAGGAGTTTTTGATGCAGAAGAAAAGTGCAACAGTTGATTTGGGAGTTTTAAGGAGGACTTCGTCATCTCCGGGATTAGATGAACCGAATAACGGAAGACGTGGTTAGTAACGACTGGATGATCTTTTCCGAATCGAGTTTACGATTATTAAAATAATTTCGTGTTTGTTAGGGCTGATGAAGTATTTTGACAATGGAGTTGACAAAGAAAGCAAGGAGAAGAAGCAGTCCCTGGTGATGCGACGTCAAACATTGTCTGCAGCTAATCAACCTCCAAGAAAGCAAGTGAATAGAAGAACTAACAACGGACTGTTCCCTGTTTCGATCACCAAACATTGCGAGAAGAATGCGGAAGACGTGTCTACTACTTACGACGCGATGTCCCCGAATTTTATTTTCTTGCAATTTTATCAATCATCCTGGTTTGGCGATGAAAATGTACCGCTTCCATTACCTGAAGAAGAGGTTTGTATACTGCATGAACCTTACAAGACGACATTCCTATTAATTGTGACATTTGTGCGTATTCTTACTGTATCCCCTAATCTGCGATGACCGCTTCAAGTTGCTACCAAAAATTCTCTTTACGCTCCCATCATCTACAGGAATTTTTAGGCTGTGTTTCAGCATCAAACTACTGGAGTGAAGTCCGTCTGTGATCCTATCTTCCTTTTTTTTAAGTTTTGTTATCGTGCTGTGAAAAACCTGGACCGTATCCCGCCATTCGACACTCACAAAATAGGGGTTATTTATGTTGGTCGAGACCAGGAAAACGACGAGGTTTCTATCCTGCGTAATCAATATGGATCCTCCAGGTACATGGCGTTCCTCTCCGGTCTCGGTGAATTAGTGCGTCTTAGAGATTTCTTGTTATGTGAGGTCTATACTGGAGGCTTGGAGAGAAACGGCGCAGATGGACACTACGGTTATAGTTGGAGAAGTGAGATTGCACAAGGTCATTGTATTATCTTAGTTCTAGCTCTTTTAGTCATTGTGCTTCATGTGTTGAACATGGAGTGATTGATAGTCAATTGAAATAGTCGTAAAATTTTAATTTAGTTATGTTTCATGTCGCCACATTAATGCCAAACAAAGAAAATGATCCAAACTGTCACTCAAAGAAATTACACATTGGCAATGACTTTGTCACTATTGTCTACAACGACTCGAAAACGTCGTATAATATGGGAACTATTAAGGTAAGTGAACCTTTTTGGCGTGAGCATGATTCATAAATGTTGTGAGTGCAGGAAATTTAAGACATTAAATTCTGTGAATGTTTTGTTCCTTCTCAAGGGTCAATTCAACTTTGTGGAAATAGTAATCAAGCCTCTGGATAACGACAGTAATATTGTGTGTTTGAACGTTAAAGATGAACTCAGGGATATTCTAAACAATACAAATTATGGCCCTAGAGTTATTTCCGATAAAAACCTGTCGAACTTGGTTCGTCATATGGCAATGCATGTTAATGTAAGTAAATAAATTTGGTCAGTAATTTAGCGTAATTTAAATGTCCGTATGTGATATTGACGGTATCAAATGTTTTTCTTTTTAAGATGGCGTCAGTTATTCACCAAAATCAGAAGACAACTACAGATACCTATGGCTGTAATTGGTTGCAAAGATTACGTCAGATCAAGAGGATTCGAGCTAGAGTTCCTCATGCGGTAACGGAACAATGTAGGTCGCTAGACTTAAGGAAAGGCACTCCTAATATAATAGATTTTACAAAATATGTCCTTAGGTAATTCTTATGAGTTACAACAAAACCTTTACAATTGTTTATCTTTCACTGATGAGCTCAGAATGTTTCGTTATCACGTGGCCTATGCACGACTCTTGCCCTCGAGGAGGAAACCAATCCGGATATAAATGACTTTTTTATCTAAAGTACTTCACGGAAATGCCTTCAGTTGAAATATGAAGAATCTTGTTGAATTATGAGGAGCTTGAAATTTAACAAAGATAGGATTAGCGGCTCCAACATGGAATGTACTCCCATCTATTGAAATATACTTGCAGTATAAAATGCAGTTGATTATAGATATTATAGAGACGATTC